CCTGAGGTACTGCAATTAAATACAATTTTCATTATTAGTTAGTGACAAGAAAAGAAAATCCTTTTTATGGTATATTCCGTATACAATTTGTTTTCAGTAAAATCTCAATTTTATACAAGCAATTTATGTTTATTCACTATAAAAATAAATAGGGAAGCGAAAAAGTAAATATTTTGTAATTTAATTTAAATCTACCTATTTAAAATTTATATAGTCATCAATTTCAAAATATTTGTTTTTTGAATAATTTATTTTTCGCTAAATACTTATGAAACTTAAAAATCAGTTAATGTCAGTATATAATTTTGTACTTAAGCCTTAAGGATAGCATATAGTTACCACTTACCAAATAAAAAATATTTATTCCGAAAGCAGATCCAATAAAATAAAATAAAAATATGATATTTAACTTCTAAAAAGTGGGTAACTAAATGAGAAATCGAGTGAATATCAAATTTTGTAAAAATATGAATTTCAAACGCTTATAAAAATTTGATTTGACTTTCTTGTAGACATTTTTTTTTCCATAAAGGTAGACAAATGTATGATGAATCTTGTCTTACATTTTCAAATCTTAGATTTAAAAATAAAATTTTTTATGAATTTGTAACTCAAAATAATTTGGACATTTTCGTCATTTTTACGTATTTTGTTAAGATATGAACTTTAAATGATTATTAAATAAAACTGTGACTAAGGATTTTTAATCATTTTAAAATGTCATTGTAACAATATAATAGGACCCTTGTATTAAATTTTCAAGCTTTTTTACCCAACAACTAAAATTTTATTGATATTTACAGAAAAAAAAAATAAAAAATTTGGAAACTGAGAATGTTCCTAAATAGTTCAAAACAAATCAAAATATTTTTAAAATTTTATCGTGTATATAAAATGCAAATATAAACAACTATTTAAATCTTCATGAATATACGTTCATTTTTTTTAAAGTTATACCAAAAACCGATTTTGCGTAAAAATTCCCGTTTTTCCTTAATTTTTATGTTGTTTTTTCCCGGCGCTTTTGAAAACTATTGGGAATTTTAAAATTTGACCTCCTGAATGCACCAACTAGTTTCACTTTCCCATCAAACAAGATACTGTTGAAGAAAATCGAAGCAGTTTTACTGTCCCAAACCGTGATGACAGACACAAAAATAAAAATAAAAAACACACATCATTGTAAAATTAATACACTCATCCCTCCCTCCGCTTGGAATCTAAAAAGTTACGAACTAAAAGATTCAAAATTAATTTCAATTTAAATATATTAGCAAGTAGGTAATTAAAAATATATCACTTATAAAAATTTGAATTAAAACGGCACTTAGATATTTCCTGATTAATTAAATGTATCTCTATTGAATACTTACGATCTTCCGTCGAAATTAGGTTGTAAAAATGACAGATTGTCAAAATAACAATATTTTGCTTTTTTTGTCATAGCTGATCCCGATTTCTCATATTTATGAACCTCTTTTTTAAAAGTATCTTTTAGATTCTTCCATTTCCTCATAATGTGTATAACTAAATATGAAAAATGTATACATTAGGTACATTTGTTAAACAAGTGTAAAAAGGTGACATATAATGGGTAGGTACCGCGTTTCATGCTGTGTAGGTTATTACTTATAAGTATGGATAACTGTAATGGTAGGGGTTAAATTTGAAATCAATCGATATTATATTGTAAAATATAATATTTTAAAGATGATATTATGAGAGCATTATATTATAAATTTATGAATTAATAAAAAAAAAATTTGTGAAGACTGTTTCTCAACCTATATTACTAAGTAACTCTTATGATATTATTGTGATTAAAGTAATTTATTTTTCTATTAAGCTTTACTACAGATGGGTTTTGCCTAGAAAATTGCATTTGAAAATAATAAATATCATTGTGTGTATAAAATATAATAGGTAATATATTTTAAAAGTTTCAAGTAACCATGTATAATATTTTTAAATTATAACCAAAAATATATTGAACGTAAATCCACGAACATTTTTTATAAGGGTCTTGAACTATGCCAAAATCCGTCAAAATCACGAAAATGTGCATATACATATTATTTTGAGGTAGAAAATTATAAACATTTTTTATAAATATTTAAGATTTGAAAATAGAATGCAAAATTCCTCATAAGTCCTCCTTTCTTTAACAAAAAAAAAGAAATTCTACTTGAAAGACAAACTGAGTACCTATATAATATATATTTTAGATTTTTTTGTTACAATCTTAATTAATATGATTTTAATATTTTTATATGGTTTGGTAATTTGGTATAGAATGTAAAATTTAGAATTATCATTTTAGGTATTTATCAACGGGAGCTACATTTAACCAATTGCATTTAGACTTTTTAATTGGAAAAAGTACAGTTCGAGTAATAATAAAAGAAACTCTCAGTGTTATATGGAAAAACTTACAGCCTTTAGAAATGCCGGAACCTACCAAAGAAGTGTGGATTCAAACTGCCGAAGGATTTTATAATAATGCGAATTTTCCTAACTGCCTTGGAGCAGTTGATGGAAAGCATATTCGAATAATTAATCCGGCAAAAAGTGGTTCAGACTACTTTAATTACAAGCATTTTTTTTCTATAATTTTAATGGCTTTAGTAGATTCGAACTATTGTTTCCTTTCCATAGACGTTGGAGCTTATGGACGTGAAGGAGATCCTAACGTCTTCAAAAAGTCACCATTAGGTAAAAAGTTATACGATCGTCAACTGGACATCCCATTGCCAAAAAAGTTACCTAATGATGATGATGGTGTAGAACAACCATTTGTGATAGTTGGAGACCTACATTCATTTGCCTTGCATGAAAACTTACTCAAGCCTTACCCAAGAAAAAATTTAGATTTGAAGAAAAAAATATTTAATATAAGACTCACTCGAGCTAGACGTTATGTGGAATGCACGTTTGGAATTCTAGCGAACAAGTGGAGAGTTTTTCATACGCCTATTTTAGTTGAACCTGAGTTTGCTACATTGATAGTAAAAGCAGCATGTGTTATTCACAATTTTGTTCGTCGTCGAGATGGTGTAGAATATGAAGATACAGTTCACTGTCCATTTGAATCTATAAGTTCTGAGACTAATCTTGCAAGAGGATCAACAATTAGTGCAAGAGATGTCCGAGATTACTTCGCTACATACTTTGATAGCCCAAAAGGAAAATTAGATTGGCAGTACAATGTAGTACACTAATACCTACAATAATACCTATATTGTTTAGCAGTACTTGTTTTAAATTTTAAAAACTAACTTACATTTTTCTTTTTAAATTCTAAATGAACTGTATTTAAATAAAGATGTCGAAAAAGCAAAAGTATGTATTTATTTTAATCGTTTTTATTTTTTGCAGGTTATATACCTATTAGTTCCTACACATTTGTTTTGTATTAACCATAGCAGATGCAAAGACATTTAATATACACTAAAATATATTTGTTATTATAAATTATGAATCCATGCATATTCAATTACAGATTTGAATTAAATAATTTCTATTAAATAATTAATATAATATAAATTAAGATTCGGATATTTATGCAATTAAAATTATTGTTATACTTAATATGCATTGATGCACTAAAAAATAACCAAATATGCACTAAAAATTATGAAATATACATTTTTAGCTAAAAACACTGAAAAATATGCACAGGAAATTAATGTGTATATTACATATTAGTTTATTATGTACTATATATGTTAATACGTGATAAATTGTATTTATTGTATTACACAATTGAAAAAAAAAAAATAAACTCAGTGAAATTAATTTTATAGTTGGTTTAAATAGTTCGATTGTTTGGAAATGTACTGAAATATTTTTTAAATTCCAAAATATGCATTTAAAATACAAAACCATACAATTCTCAAAATATAAATTGAATTGGTTGATTCAGTAGAACATGAATCAAATTTGTATCCGAGTCAGCATTAAATTGAATAAATAGAAATATGATATTCAATTTCATAAACATCCAAACCCTAAATATAATTATTATAATAATTAATTTTTCTACTCACTATAGTCATCTTTTTCTTTTTGATTAAGTCCAGTCCAGTTTTCATTTATACCTTCGGCTACCGCAATCCATTCTTGTGTTTTTTTGCCTCTTAGTCTATATTCTTCACTGGATGTGTCCCATATGCATGGTCTATTTTGTATTTCGGCTATTAATCTCTCACAATCGATAGTCATATTATTTTTGGCCATGTTAACGGAAAGACAGCCGAAACAGTAATAATCCAGTTTTACAAAATAGATGCAATTCTCGTACCCCGATGAAAACTTATAATAATATTAATAGGTATATCACCACCTATATCACTACATTACGATGTTTAAAATTTTTAATTTTAGCCATGATGTTGGCGGAAAGACACGCGATACTATAATAATTCAATTAACATTTTCTATAATATGTACTTATATGTATAAATAAATATATATATATACTTTTTTCGTACCTGGTGAAATAATATATTACCTATTATGTTTACGATATTTACGATTTTACAATAATATAATTTACAATAATATTGTATTAAAATACCGTAGTATAGTAATAATCGCCGCGAAATTCGATAAACCAAAATACCCGTATAGCCGCTATCATTAAAAGTTAATATAAATAGACGGTTTTGAGGTTTTATGGATTGGGCGGTTTTGAAAAAAATCGTCGGCCGACCGCGAATATCGCGGCAGATTAATTCGCGGCGAATTCGTATAGCCTGCCCGATTTAATCATATAGGTTTTCGATGACAGCGGAATTCGCCGCGAATATCGCCGTGTATAGCCCCAGCCTCACCACCTTAGCCACACCCCGTTGTCTGCATATCAAGTCTAATAAACTTGTCAATTCGAAAGCGATCGTTATTATATATTATTGGCTGCAGTGACGGAACAAAATATGATTTAAGGCGGGATTTTCCGCGGGCCTCATCGTGAAAGGGGCCTCGGCGCCCCTCAGCAAAATTATGTACTTTTTAAAAAATTTCGGTTCAAGTAAATAAAATCATTGAATACTGAAATAATACAAAGTATACTGATAAAAGATTACTAAACGTGTATACGGATAACCATACATCATAATTCATAGTATTTAGTAGGTAGGTACTATTAATAATTAATGTGAATAATAATATTATAAGAGTATAATAATATTGTCAATTCTAGTTATTGCGATATGCGGGCATGCGGCGGCGTTACGTGGTAATTCGGAGTGGAGCCTATAATAGCTGGTATACTAAATTATAGAAATAGTAGATTATATACTACGGTCTCCGGCCCAAGAAAGAAATTATTTTTGTCATTTCATTCTAACGATTTTAATATGAGAGTGGTGTTTGAGGATGTTTTCCGTTTGGTGTCAGAAACAACATCCAACTTATGATCCAAGTTACTTAGGTAAGTAGTCTTACAATTATTTTGCATTGAAAGACAACATTAAATTGTGATTCGTAAACAATCATTGTGGTCATTGGTGTTACATAAATACTAGAAATTTAATAGGTATTTAATTTATTAAAACTAATGGTTTTGAACATATTTATATATTTCATCTACAAAATATATTAAATTTTAAAGAAAATTAAATAACCTTATAATTTAAAATGTTATGAAAAGTATTTAGTACAATCACGTGAGTTGTCATATTACTTTTATTAAATATATCGTGAACTCGAAATCCCATATCCAGTAGGTATCGACAATCTTATTATTATACCGTGTTCGCAAATCGTCACGTTATATTATAAATTTATATTGTCGTGGACGCGATTGTCACGTATTATAATATATTATACATTTTATTAGTATTTTTAACGAAGACTTGACTATTTTCCTTGACTCGCATTTAATATTTGTATACCTTCATCGAGAATCACTCCATATTATTATTTATTATATTAACTCATATAACCGCTAAATAGCCATATTATTTATTATTGTTTTTATCTGTTGACTGTTGGGTCAAAATTAACTTAAAATATAATTTAAATTAATAAATATATTGTATTAAATTACCGTGTACGCAAATCGTTTTTTTTTTAAATAATAATTTAATTACTAGTTTCCCTGACTTATTAACGGCATTTTACTTGTTCCTTACATTACCAGTTACTGTGGAGAGTGCAGAAAGAACATTCTCAAAACTTAAATTAATCAAAAATTATCTAAGAAGCACCGTCTCCCAAACACGGCTTAGTGATCTTGCGATGGGCGTGCTAAGAAATTGAACTTTTATTAGTTACCGTTATTGGTGAAGAAGTTTGCTCATTGTAAATAAAATATTATTATTAGGGTTTCCGAAATTATAATTCAATAAATTATATTTTATTTTTTATTGAATCCAAATAAACAGCTCAATATTTAGAAATTTAAATTACAGATATAGGGCCTCCAAAAAAAATTGTATCCACGGGCCTCAACGATCGTAGTTCCGCCACTGATTGGCTGTATGCCTGTATCCAATTACACGGTCTATATTTTATACCGGAAACTATTTATAGTTGCCTGTAGGCTGTAGCCTAAATGGAAACTTTTTCCCTTTGGAACTGACGACAAGACGCCGTGAGATCTGCTTTTGCATTACACGGTTTTAGATATACATATAACTATAACGGATTCCTAGAGTTGTACATAAAGTAGCTGAAATGCCTATCCAAAGCGCCCTGTTTAAATTTGTATTTAAAAAAATGTTTTAAAACTATTAATATAGGTAATATTATGATTTATGATTTACTGGAAAAATGATCCTAATGGAAAAACTAAATAACAGTAACGTCTTAACCGTGCTGCGTGTGCTCAGTGATTTTGCTATTTTAGAAAACTAAAAAAAGTTTTAGAAAAAATTATACAATTGGAACACATATCAATGATATATCATCATATTCAAACACTAAATGTCCAGAATCTTAAACAAAAAAACAACTGACGTTGATAAGCTCATCAAATAATGATAATACAGAGGCTAACACTTAGTTTAGCGCCCACGCAAATTTT